GAGAAGGGACTGTGAGGAATATCATGTTCTAACAACAAAACCTATAAATCGGTAGGTACAGTAACTAAAATTCCAGGGATTCTGCAGCAGTGTTGAAAATCAAACTTCTCATCAAACTTCAGTTGAGTACTAAAAGCTTTAGTTACTTAAAGTTTACGAGAACAACAAAAATTATGTATTTTGACACGGTATTTGGTTCCTTTAAGCGTAACTCACCTCGTTCTCTGTTCTCCTATCCCCTATGTTGCCTATTGCCCGAATATAATGACCAACAGGGTATCGAGAATCACGTGGCCAATGGTCAATCACCACTATAACACGCTTACCTCGCAATCGCTCTGCCTGCATTGACTCAATTCTTATTCTGGGGATCAACCGTTCGGACGGGGCGAAAAGTGCACGTGTCGAGTCTGAATTTTTGGTTAAAAAACTTGAATCAAGCTACTAAAATTAACAGATACTTGATGTATCTTAATTATTGTCAACTAGTAAGAGGAAAAGATAAAAATAGAAGTAATTAGTTAAACAATCCATTCAGAATTTAAGAACAGCCGTAAACTAAACTGTCAACATTAAAGTAACAAATTCATCAACTGCAGTGTAACCGCAAAGTCAGAAAAATGTAATTCAACTGTTACAATGAGCATAAAGTTCTACTAACCAGGAACCAGAGCAGGCAAGATCACTCCACAGTACTGTCGCCAGTTTCTCTTTATTATTCCTACAACTCGAGCAGTAGGAATACAGTCTTCAATCCGACGCTTTTTGGACTTCGGCTCTGTATCAGCTTCATTCTCAACCTTTCCTTCTTCCTCTAAAGTTTCTTCACTTGCTAATTCCTCAACATCCCTTAACTGAACCACACTGTTAAGTGTATTTTTTTAAACAAAAAATTAAGGACAAGGGATAAGAAACCTTAAAAAGAATGTAATAGCCGTAACAAAAGTTTTAAGCTCGTCCAGAAGAAAGACCAAAAAAAGATGTGGATGTACTCTTCACCTTAAAATTAATAAGACAACATAAATTGTAAAATTAACCTTTATAAGTTTTTGAGGAGATGTCCATTCGTCTTTCGGTAACAATTCAGCAGCAACAATGTCTCCATTAACAGCTCTGTTACAATTATCACGACCTTGCAAGAACCATACAGTTTCCTCATCGACATGCACAAAAGCTTCAAGGTAGTTTTCGCGAGAAACCTATGACACAGCACAAGTAGATGCCTTGTAATAAAAATTGACCCCTTAAAAATTTCATCAAAAAATTTCAACTTTCATTTATTCCAAGTAAAAGTGGTAAGTCAAGCACAAAAATATAAAAGAAAAGCAAGCTGAGTTTACCTGGAAAACACCTTTTTTATATTTTCCAGTCCTGATTCCATCTTGCATTTCAGTTTGAGATAGGTGTTCTGCAAAAAACATACGACCAGTGTTCCCTGAATCAGTTTCATATGCGCACACTTTGTCCAACAAATCTTCATTTCCTGTCATACCTCAAAAAACGATTAAAGTCACCTTTAGAGAGCAAAAATTCGAAATTAAAAAAAACATTCACAGATATCTCGAAAGCATCTCAAAAAACATATAATGAAAATAGTACAAGCCTACAGCAAAAGAAGAAACAGATCAAAACAACCTTGCACATATTCCTTTAAAGTGAGAGCCTTAGGAAACTGCTCACGCAACCGGTCTCGGACTACTTCGTTACAGCAAACCAAAACGATTTTAATGTTATACTCGTCCCAGTGGGAGTCATAGAAATTGGCACATTTCAACAGCGACCTCTCCAATCTGTAAGTACAAAAGAAGGAGTGACGTGAGAACCTAAATAACGAAACTTTGTGGACCTTAGGGCTGGATGTTGCACATAATTCAACAGGTGGTACCTTTGCTCCACTGACTCCCCAGGAGTCCCAATAACATGAGTGTCCTTATGAAAGTCATCCATGAAAACAAAACATTTCCTCTGTTCGGACTCGTAACAAAGTGAGTACATCGCCTTATACACTGGAGGGCTAGATTTCTTGATGTTTTCCCAAACCGACTGCGCAACAATGATGTTTCTGCAAACCAGCATCAAACTGAGTTTACCTAATTGAGAGCAAAGTTATAAGTAAGTAAAAAGAAGCAAATTTCATAGAATTTTGGTCGAGATAATTAAGCACTGAAGCTACCGCATTAGAATTTAATAAAGTGTCTTCACTATCAAAAACGAAACTGCTACTTTAGGAGCAACAAAAAAGCCTAGGGTTAAGGAAAAATAGAACGCTATGATATGTATATAACTGAAAAAAATTGATTAGCAAACTCATTCACTTGAATCTGTGATCTGAAAGGACATGATGAAACCGAAGCATAGTAGCTGAGTCGACCAGCAGCGCATGGTTCACAGGAACAGCAGACGAAGTCGGCTCGTTCAAATCAACCAATCCATACCCATCAGGATGTCGGCATTTTCTGCACGAAATCAACCGACAGCTAATGTCATTACGGAGATATTTCTCGTGAACACGCTTTGAAAAAAAAAAACGCATTCAGAAACTTGAACAATTTCATCATACAACCATTGAGGCTCAATTTTAGTTTAAGGTATAATACGTTAAGAACTCCTAACAGTCTAAGCCTGTAAACTGAAGATTCTACAATGCAGAACTATCTTACCTTCAAAACCTTTCCATTCCTATTTTTTGCAAAAAATGACTTCAGTATTCTGCCGCTGATCCCGCTCTGTTTAACATTCAGCTCCATTTACTTGCAGTAGCTCGCCAACGAGATCGCTTCTTGATAGTCGGAAAAGCAGGCCGTTTTTGTCGACAGCAAATCGTCAAATATTTCAAAACGCTTCAGAACCTGAGATTTCAATTTGGTTTTTTCATTTCAAAAATGGATTTTGAAAAAAAATTTCTTACACTTTTTTATAAATCAGTTCATGACAATTTATTTTTTGTCTTGTTCTGATTCCCTAACATTTTTTTATGCTATACGAGAATTCTAAATAGGGAACTGACTTTTTTCTGGAGGCTTTTCTAATAAAATTAATGTTTATTCAGTAAGCAGTGTCACTGAGTCATTTCAATTTGCCCTATAAAAAACACTTTTTTTTAAAAAGTATTTATGCACCCTTATTTCTCCAGAATGTCCTTCAAATTAGAGCTCAGGTAGGAGAAGGAAACTGGAATGATGAGGAATAAATATTTCTTATGCTAGGTGAGGCAGTCAAAAGTAGGAAACTGATTAGTCGTAGGAGGCAAATTGTAACAGTGGTAGAGTTAAATCTGGATCATTTTTTTCCTCGTTCACTACAATGATTTAGGCCCAGTAAGCAGTTTGCATTGGTGGTGGTTTTCGGGACATACAGGGAGGATTCAGAAGCAGGTAACGTTTCTTTTTCATTTTTAAATGCGTATACTTTTGACACTGTTCTATCAGGCAAAATGCATTTAACCGTTGGATTCAAGAATCGTATGTGATGATAAGAAAAGAAACTGTTAAATGGATTTGAAAATAATCTAAATACCTCATCTAGTCTGATGATGATCTAAAATTGATTTGTGATCTTGCCAGACTAATCAACAATAACCAATCAACTTTTTTTTACTTGCTAAAATCAAAATTTTATAGTATCAATTTGCTGAAATAACAGCTGTACAACTGTCTGGAGACAAGACTTTATCACTTATGAGTGATACTTTTTCAGAAAACATTTTAGACGAGGTGAAATGGGAAAAAAAGAGGCAATTTTCATAAACACTATCGAATATGTTTGCTGAGAAGAACCAAAATAAATGTAATGCAATAAGGACCGAGGTTATTTTTTCAGAATCCGTATGCGATAAGCCAATTGAGCAGTGTTTAACAGTACTGCTTTTGTTTTTTTGTAAAGTTAAGAGTATTTCTGATAAGAAGTTCACCAAAATCTTTGTCAACGTAAAGTGGTAAATACAGGAAAGATTATATATATTACACTCTAAAACAGCCTAGCGAGAAAATAGAAGAAAAGAGGAAGGAAACTTGTAAAATCTTAGCCATAAAATTTTTTGCATTTCTCGTATACTAAAGTTGTAAAGATTTTTTTGTAACCTTTGAAACGAATTTGTGATCGTGCCAATTTTTTTTCTCCTTTGTTCACTTTTTTGGTTGATAAATATCAATTCAGAAAGACCTATGTATATTTACAAGTTTTGTTGCAGTAAGTATATATACGTATAGTTATGCATGTGCCTGATGATGACAGTTTCTGTAAACTGAAACTGTTTGTTACATTTACGCTAAAACCTGCGCAGATACTAAAGGATAACGTTTGATCTTTAAAAAAAAAAAGCGCAAAAAAGTTCTATGATCTTGTTTGCTTTGGTTAATAGCCAAAAAGTTTTATGGGAAAGTAAAGGAGATCTTATGGATCATTTATTTTTTTCACGGGTAGTCATTGAAGGCCTCTTTTTTTTTTTTTAGGAAGTAAAAAGTTATATTTTATTTTGTGGCTATAAATGGAGTATCACGGAAGTGATTAGCAACAGCGTCTTTTTTCTCTTGTATTTTGCTGAAAAACTACTGCACTGTCACTGAAACTTTTGAAAACGTTATGACCCGTTAAACAGTCATTTTTATGATTTAAGTGATGAAAAATAACGGTTACTTTGATGTTACTATATTTAACACTCATCATATTTGGTCGGGCGATTAAAACTGTTTTTTTTTTCTTTTCATTGGTACGTTCTGATGTTGCTTAGATAAGCGATATTCCATAAATGTTATCAGTTCTCTACTTCTTATTTTGTTGTTTTACAGATGTACAAGGATGGAATCTGATTTAACCGCATTTGTACTGTTCCCTGAATTATTGTCCCATGAAACACTAGTAAAAATATTGAAACATAAATTTGGTAAAATAAATGCTAATCCGTATAGGATTGAAAGATGGGATGACAATGAGCTGATAGACTATGCAAAACGTTTTTTAATGCCAAAACCACAAAGAGAGTGCCGGGAAAATCAGGTTTTTCCTTAACTTTGAACAGTATTTTTGTTGTTGAAAGTTTTTTTTTTTTTTTGTAATTTAGCCATTATCCACTTATAGCATTTTTGCTTAAAGGTTGAAATTTTAAATTATATTTCTTACTCTAGATGCTTTACCTTTTTTTTTAAAGCATGTTCATGGAGGTCTTCGGGATGACATTAGTTGTCGGCTGAATTCGTGCAGAAGATGCAAAAATTTTGATAACTGTGGGCTTGTTGATCTAAACGAACCAACATCATCTGCAGTCCCAACAAATCATGCCCTGCTGGTTGATTCGGCGACTATTCTTCGATTCTATGATATCCTCTCCGACCGCAGATTCAAGTAATTGAATTAATATGCACCGATATGCAATTATTTGGATTTTATGGTATCTAGTATTTGGGTTGGCTTAGACATCACTGCAAATTATTGACTAAGAATATTCGTTTAACTTGTAAGTGCATCCAACTTTATGAGCTAATGCTTCATTTCAGCTTTGAGTTCTTCAGCTGCTCTTTCATTCCCTATTTTTTTTTTTTCAGGAAAAGATATGCTAGATTCTAATTTGAAGAATTATTTTGAACAACATTTTCTTGAGTTTCGGATTGTTGGTAACAAATTTTTTCTTCTCCGTTAACAGACGAAAGATTCTTGTTGTGCCGCCGTCATTTGTAGCCTTCGTCAATTTTGTGAAGAATATTATGTTCATATCATGTTGATAAATTTACCAGAAGCTCCTAGCCATTTGTTGGCCAGGATCTCTCATTTAGTCTGTTTTCTTCTTATTCAACTGCCTTTTCTTTTACTTTTGAACTTGTGGATGTTGTTGACGATTGTTACCTATTTCTATTACATTGTTTATTTACTTTGGCGTACGATTTCTGGATTGATTCGCTTTGACCTTTAGGAACATTATTGTCACACAAACAGTGTGGGAAAACGTTAAGAATTCAAATGCATCAGCTTACCAGGCATTGTATTCGCTTTGTTACGAGTCTGGGTCAAGGAACTGGGCTGTATTTATGAATGACTTTCACAAGGATACCCATGTTGACGAGATGCCTGGTGAAACTGCGGAACAAAGGTGTCGGATGTCATGTTGTACTGATTTCTTTGCTTAAAAATCCACAACATTTCACAGGACATGGAACTGCATGAGTGATTTTGTTACAGTCATTTAATTCCTTGCAGACTGGAACGATCTTTTCTGAAATGCGCTCGTTTTTACGACTCTCATTGGGACGGGTACAAGATTAAAATCGTTTTGGTATGCTCTGACGAGATAGTTCGTGATCGGCTGCGACAACACTTTCCCAGAATTATCACTCTGAAAGAGTATATACTTGGTCAGTCTGGTTAGCCTCGTTTTTACTACGATCAAGATTAAGTCACTTTATAATTTTTATCTTTTTTTCTACGTTCTAAACCTTTTTGGAAACTTTTCACTGAACACAACTTCCCACATGCTTTTTCCATTTTTATAATTCATTGGCCACTGTGCCTTTCTGCTGGTGAGGGATCGCGGTTTTGTTTGGCAGCGAGTTTGCGAATAGTAATTGAAGTCTTTTGAGGCATGGCAGATAATGAGGACTTATTGCGTGAAGTGTGTGCGGACGAAGATTACGGTGAACCACAGCCGAAGAAATCTCGACTTGGTGATTGCGTTCCTACCGGCCGTGTCATAGGGTTAAGAGGAGAAATTTTTAGCAACCTTGCAAATTAGTTCCATCAACAGTCATTCTAGAGTAGCATTTCCATATCTACTCGATCAGTAGAAATATATAGCAATTTTACCAAGCTTTATTTTTTTTGCTCCAATCCATCAGTGATATTATTTTAAAGTGTACAGTTCTTTTTCTCTGAATTCAAGTTTTGAGCTAGTTAAATGTTTATGAACATGTCCTTATACGTGTAAATTGTGTTTTTCGCTGCTTTTCGTTTATATATCGACTTTTACCTCATGTGGCGTACTGCTTTATTTTCACCTGTTATTTTCAGTACAGTTTGAGAAGCGATATAATTGTAACAATTCTCAATTTCTGGAGACTTGAAATTTTTCGCTTAGTGTTTTCAATGAGAATTAAGCAAGAACGTGGAAGTAGCTTCCGAGGAAGAAGATGTAATTACGGATGATCAATGCGTGTTTAATTTCTGTCAGTCCAGGGAGATGGTTTATTTAGGTTGATTTTGTGCACTTTTGTATGCATAAGTCAGTGAAAATTTCTTAGTTTAAATGTATTAGATTATTGATCTTTAACAGTTACGTCGTTAGATAGAGGAATGACTGTGACTACTGGATTATTTTGCATGGTAACTTTTTCTTTTTAGACTTAGGGTTAGCTTGAGATTGTAAAGACAAGTTTTGCTGTAAAATTTACTCTGTTTGTAGTTGAGCAGAGGGAACTGAACATGAGAAGTGCGATTGCAATGATTCTGCCGATCTGTACATTTATCAATTATTTATTTTTTCCCTTTGTTATGTTGTTGACGCTTTGTTTTTTGAGTAACGGTGATGGATATATTTTGAAATTGTTTTCAATATGTTTATGATTGATTAGTAAGTTCGTGTGGATTAGCTGTATGGTTTTGCAACGTCGAGTATACCTTAGAATTAGTGTTGAGAACCCTAAAATGGTCGTAAAACTGGCTAGTAGCACATATATCACACTTCCTGCTGATCTATATGTTGTTACTGTAATTTATTTTGACCGCAAGTGGAATAAAGTTCAATATTGTAGATCAGCACCTAATAGAAGGAATAAGTAGTTCGATTCACTTTTTACAGTATACAAGAGTAGAACTGGAAGTTTTATATGGCTGATGGGGAGTTGAATGGTAAAAAAATTTGAGTGCAGAACGGTCTGTTTGATGTAGTTCAAAAGCCTAAGGGATTTTAAGCATATTGGACGGATGATTTCGGCAAGTTTTCAGTTTAGAAGCAACGTAGAGTTGAAAGAGTAATTGAGCTATAGCAGGATACTTTTGAAAAATAAAGGGAGAGGGAAGTAAATTTTTTGAAGCAGAGGTCACTGGTTACTTGAATTTATTCATTAAAGCTTGGCTTGAGGTTTAAACTCATTTGTTTCTACACGAGGATATTCAGGATTATAGTCTATTTAATTGTCTAATACTTTTGAAGTCAAAAAGAGACAAAAGCTATGCTTTAGTTTGGTTTAACCATTACTGGGTTCAAAGTAAGTCACATCTCTTTAAATTAGACTTTTTCATGTGGTTTTACTAATTGAGAGGAGTAACTTCTTGGCTTAAATAATCAGTAATCTCTAAAAAATTATATGCCGATCAGGGGAGGTAGCGGGATTTGTTACTGCATTCCTAACGATACTGTACTTTTTTGGAATATGGATGTTATTTCAAATATAGAAGAATTTCATTCAACAAACGATGATGATAGTTCATAATACCAACTGTGAAGAACGTTTGGTGACAGGAAGTAGGGTTAGTTTTGCTCAAATAAGAAATACGTTTACACAGCAACGACATTAATTTATAATGCCAAGCAAACTCTTTTACGCAGATGCAACTACTGCTGCATTAAAACAAATTTTTTTCACCAGTTCTGATTTGGTAACTGCTTTAAGATAGTTTTTATAGGTTCTATTACTGGAACCAAGCTATTATTATATTGATGGTCTTCAGATCTCATGCTTACTACTCATTTCATAACCAACTTTAATTCCCCTTTCGTCTTCTCGTTTCTCTAGGCACAATATACAGTTACGACGAAGATCTACCGTTGCTTTAAAAAACTTCCTTTAAGGTCTCCAATTCAGAAAGTTCAAATTTTTTGGAGGATAGTCATATCAAAGGAGCGTTCTTTGTGAGCAGTAAGTTTGTTCTTTCATTGCAGTACACGAGGAATGTTTAAATGATTAAAAATGAATATTACTGTGTGAAGACAACTGTTTTATCGAGCTTACTTTTAAAAAGCATTACTCAGGAAATGAATCAAAAAAATTATTTTTAGAACTATTTGTTAGCAAAGTACAACTTATTAAAAGAAAGTGCTGTGAAAATAAGGCAGCCCTATGATCGATTCAAAGAACTGAATAAGTTGTCGAGGATAATTTATACACAAGGCTTAGCTCCTCTGCCAGAGTTATGCAACATTCAACAGAAGTTTACGGTCTTTAGAACAATAGTTGTTAGTTGTTAGAACGCGTCACTAGAGTTTGTGATACACTTGCAAGATTCCTACGCAGTGAGAGTTTTTATGGTGTAGAGGCCTCGGCAAGGGGATGGCATTCTTCGTCTGAAAATATTTATGCCTAGAAGAATTGCTTATATCCAGAAGAAAATATTTTTATCCAGAAGAGTCAGCCAGCAAACGAAGGAGACCGAAGTTTAATATATATTAAAGAATTCAAAGCGATTTGTGACTCATGAACTCGCTTCCTGACTATGCGATGAACTACAGTTAATGAGAATGCCTTATAACTGAAGATCTCAAGTAACAACAGAAAAGATTAATAATAACCAGCCAAATTCTGATTGAACAACTGGTCTCCGATGTAAGCTTGAATGAATCAAAGATCTGCAATTAGGGCCAATTAGAGGAGTAATAAACTAATAGTGAACGTGCGACTGTCAAAAAATATCTTTACCAACGATTGATCTATGTTTAAATATCTGTAAGCTGGAGGCATCATAAATAGGAAGCAAATAAATTTCAAAGTAAGCTTCTTGTTATTGTATAATTACTTTTTATTTCAGTTTGATTGCTCTTCTTTTCCTTTCGTCGAGGCTTCTGACGCTGTATCTGGAGGTTTCAATTGTTGTTTACTTAAGAAGGTTAACAAATTCTTTCAATGCGGAGTTTGCGGTTATCACAATTGCGTAACGAGCAAAATATTTGTCTACTTGAAGAAGAGAGGGAGTTCTGAGGCGCCGCCTGTCTTCTGTCATTTGAATCGTGAATGGGGGAACCTAAGGACCTACTTCGCGCACGTAACATTTGAAGGGTCTGCAGTGAAGTCAGCCAATCGTCGGTCCACTTGCTTGACTCCTACCCAAAAAAACGTTGATGGGTCGCTTACGAGGCTACAGCGTTTAGCCTGCAGTAGGGTTAATCACTTTGGGAAAATAAGAAATTGCATTTAAGAGCTATCGAACTGTGTAGCCAGAGGACGTTTGGACGTGCAGAAAAAAAATGTACAGAAAGCAAGCCTACTTTAATGACTGTGCGTTGTGTTCCCTTCAAACGCTGATCTTTATTGCTGATAGATGCTAAAGACAAACAGGATCTTTCAAACGTGTAAGCGGTGAATATTGCTTAATTTTCTGCACTGCAGGAAGTCGGTTGGCATTCTTTTTAAAAGTGAGGCAAATATTAATGTCAAGATTTATTGCTGAAGGAAAAGATGGGGCCCCTTTTTTTTCAGAAATTTACGCCGTAAACTTTCTTTGTGGCGTCCATCTTTAAAGCAGTGCAAAATAGATAAGCAAAGTTTATGGGGACAGATTAACCGTCCTCGTTCATTTGGACGTCGTCACAAGTGTTAGAGCATCTTTTGAAAAATCGCTCTTAATAGGGCAGTTTTCATTGGCAGTTCTGCAAATTGAATTATTACAGAGGCTAATGCGTGTCGAAATGGTGTGTGATGTTTCAATCGATTAACTAGAATGGCAGCCGTAGATCAGACTTCAGTTATTCCTCGTAAAAAGACTTGCAGTTTCTAAACAAACACCGTTTTTGCCCTGTAGAAGCTTAGAACAGTAAGCGGTGACAAAATCCTTTTTCTGCTTTTCAAAATTCAAATCTGCATTGCTTGTAAGGTTGAAGAAAAACCCGGCGTGCTGAGCCGTAAAAGGTTGCAATTTTTCCAAAATTTTAGGTTTTTCATTTGCTAATGGGTTAGGTTTTAAAACCTCTGCACATTGGAAAACTGGTCAAACTTGTCCTGAATACATCCAATTTTATAAAGGAAGTGTACGGTATGATTCATGGTCAATAAATTATAAAAAAGTAATTTTCACTGGTCAAATCATATTTTCTTTATAAATCATAAGTCTCTAAGAAAAGAGAAGTTATGGTGGTGTCGCAACAAAAGTGTAGGCAATGGATTAAAAATTTGCAGTAAATGAGTAAAGTTACACCAAAAAACCTAATCTGTGTGAGACTGCATGCATATCATATTAAATTTTTGGTCAAAATAGTGCCTGTCCTTAAAGTCAGAAAGTGAAACAAGTTTTATTTTCGCGGTCGATGAGGGTGTTGTTTATACTGTCAATTTTGTAAAATGGTTTTTTTTTTTTTCTAAAAGCTTGTTAATGTGGCAAAAAAATTTTTCTGCTGATCTACAACAGTTTTACCATTGTTAACTTATATATGTATTCAGTAAAATTTTTTAATAGACTAAAAAATTAAAAAAAAGAAAATTTTGCTGTAAATATCGGAAGAACATCGTTTCTTGATGCATCCTTTTTGGGCTCATGCAATTGTTTAGGCTTAAATAAAACTTAAGGGTTCTGCACATTAACAATTGTTGGTACTGATAATGAGTTTTGAGAAAGGAGATATTAGGTTGGTACTATTTTTCTATATCTTTACAGTGAATTACTGTTAAGAAACGCTTTGAAGTTAACTTTAGTGACAGACTTTATAAAGCACAACTATCGTCACTCCTTTAGCGATGTTTCAAGTTACTTTTTCTTAGTTTTCTCGCACCGGTTTATAAATTGTGCTTTCAAAAACAGTAAATTTGT